ACTTTCTGATCAGCTCCTCACCTCGTCACGCTGTGAACCCCAGTCTGTCCTGTGCAATAGTTATGCACCTTCTGGTCTCTCCTTCCAGCGGCCACCCTCTGTGGGGCAAGGCCTGGCTGTGCTGCTCTTACCCTCCAGCAGGGGGCAGCACTCTGCACATCGCGTCTTCATAGATGCAGAACACTGGTGAGGAAGAAACGCAGCGTGGAGTGGGGAGAAGGGAAGGCGTGGAGGAGGCCATGTGCTCCTGCACGTGAAGCCTCGCACTGGAGATAAATCCGACCCCTTCCTTACAGCACAGAGACCCTCTGAGGAGATTAGCTGGCGGTGGGGCAGGATAAAAGGGAAAGGAAAACCTTGCTGTGTGTGCTCAGATGGGCCAGGGTGGGGTTAGCACAAGGGGAGCTGTGCGGGGGAAGAGCTGAAGCTTCTCAGAAATCCATTTGAGAAGAAGACAGTCATAACGAGGAGTCCTTGAAATCTCAAAACCCAAAGCAGAAGAGACGTCATAACCAGAAATACATTTTTAACGTTGGAAGAAAATAAAGAGTTAGAGAGGGAAACAAACAAAATGAATTACCTGAATGAGATCCTGAAGAGGAACCGAGAAGTGGGGGAGAAACGGAAAATTATCAAGGGTTAGTGGCTTGACCTAAGACTCTCTGCAATTCTTTCAACTACTCACTCTCTACCCTCAGGTCTGGAGAGTAACGTTATTTCCATAAAGGAAAGAGGGAATCACGTTGTAAGGGCACATTGTCGTTAAAATCAGTAAATATTCAACAGAATTGATGACTTGAGAAGTCCTATTTATTTACCGAGCATTCAAGTGATTTTTCTATTAGATTCAGTATTTGACCAGTTCATTTTGATAAACTAGTAAAAATGTGTCTGGCAAAGTTATTTTGTGAAATTTTCCATCAGTTTCAGCATATGTCTAATTAGGATTAGCTGCTCATCCACTTCTTATCCAGAATTATCATACCCTTCAGGATGTGTCTTTTCCTTTGGGAATAATTTTAAACTGTTGATGTGAATTAATTCCTATTTTGCAAATCTTTTGAGAACATCTTGGTTATTAGTTCTCTTACCAAAATACATATATACACCTGCCACTTTTCATCTCTCCTCCTCTTATCTGTGCTGTTTCTTTCATGACTCAGGGTCTGTCAAGCAGTTGAAAAATAGACATATGCATGTATATATGTGTATTCATATATACATAGAGAGAGAGATAGATACATATATAGATATATATAGATATATAATTTGGGTTGGTTTTTATTTTTTTCTAGATTTTGCTTTTCTCCAATGGAGGGAAATTTATGAAAAAGACCTTGATCGGTGAAGCCTGTATCTGGCTTGACAAAGTGGATCTCAGAAAAAGAATTGTCAACTGGCACAAACTCCTGGCCAGTCCCGCTCAGACGCATTAAGAGCTGTGTACGCTCAGCGGGGCGTGGATGACTCCGCCGGGTGCCGGATGGGTTGGAGGCCTTTGTACTGCACTGCCCGGGGCCAGCACGAGAGGGGATCCGTGGGCAGCAAAACCCACGACCGCCTCGTAAATTTATCGCTGTGGGTAGCGGAGAGAGACACAAAGGAAAAGTTCACGGGTTGAAAACAAAGCAACGAAATAGAGCTCTGGAGACCTTGGGCTTTCTTGGCAGTGAAAGGAAGCTGGGAGGGGAGTTTCGATGACTTAGGGCAAAGGAGCCTTTTCAAGCAGAGCGGAAGGGCAGTGGTAGGCAGGGCCTCAGAGAAGTCACTTTCGTGCAAAGAAAGCTTCATCAAAAGATCTGATGTAACAAATCTCGGTTCTCAAGAGCTGAAAACTTCCTCATCTTGTGTTCCTGGACAAGTTACACTCTGAGCTCTGGCACAGAATGCGTCTGCTATGTGGGCCCAGGACCGGCGGAAGACGACTGTGTCTGCAGGCCGAGAGTCACGGCTGGCGGGCCAGCTGGGGCAGGTTTGCTCTGCACCCAAATGTTACAGGGTGCACAACCCCAGCTGTGAAATCCACGCGGTAAAAGCACATTTGTTTCAGTATAGTTTTTAATAGTGTAGAATAAAGCTGATACTAGGTAAAAATGAAATTATTTATCTAGAAATAAAACCAAGTCTGGCTCATGATGACGGTTGACCCACATAGTATTTGAAGTTTGGTTGAAAATGTCAAAGTCCCTGTAACTTAGCACCGAGCTGAGGCATTTTCAGTGTACACACCACAGGACCTGGATTAAGTCGGTACGTTCTAGGGAGCACGGTCACTTGTTCTTTGTGGAATCGCAAATACATGTGATGAGCTGCACATTTCTTTTCTCTTGAGTAATGTATCGTCAGAGAGGAAGAAGCCTTTCTCTGGCAAACAGGTCATATTAATCTTATGACAGTGATTAACTAAATTGGTGTCATTTTCTGCTTTTCCGTGATGTTTTCACCCTGCCCTCATGAACTGATTGTATAATGGACACCAGACTCACGTTCTCTCTGGTACTCTGTTCCCTTTCCTAAGTACATTATCACACTGACCAAGTTCATCTCTGTTGGGAGAATATGTCCAACGCCAACATTTGAGATTAAAATATACTTTAAACTATTTTAATAATATACAAAGAAACAACCAATGTCTATGTCATTAAGATGAAGGATCCTCTCTCCCACCAGCCAACAGCAGTAGAGGAAGTAACGTGGAATTGTGGAAACCACAGTTGGTGGGAGTTAAAACCCTGGCTTCTGGTGTTGATTCTGCTACTGACATTGCAAATGTTACTTTACCTCCCTTCCCTCCAATTTTCTTTTTTGGTATCGGGAATTGAACTCAGGTCCTTGACCTTGCGAGGCTGACTGCTGCACCACTGAGCTAAATCCCTGGCCCTCCTCCAGTTTTCTTATCCATACAATAAAAGTAATATTATATTCCTAGCCTTCCTTCTGGAATGTTGGTGTGATTACATCAAGAGACCTATGAAATATGAAAGCACATTGCCAAATATAGTTTTATGCACAGAAGTGAGTCATAATTATTACCTGCATTTTAAATTCTTGATTTTATATGTGATATCATCCTCCAAACCAATGGCAAGCATTGATGGGGGTAAAAACAGAAACCTAGAAAAAAAATCATTTTTGTTTAAAATATGAACTTCGATTTAACCTGGGAAAAGTGAATTAAATGAAAAAGATGTGCAAATTTTGTTATGCCAGATGAAATGCATTACAAGGATCTTATTCCCTTCTCAAATCCTATCTGGGATAAACTAATTTGCTTCTCAACATTTTTAATTTAAAAGCTGCTACTTTATTCAAAGCGAGGTTTTGGTGGGATTGAGAGGAACCAACTCCAAAATATTGGTTGTGTATTATATTTTCTCAGTTTGGGAGAAAAAATACTTTAAATTTGAGAGACTTGTAAAACACTAAAATTAAAGGATTTCTAAGCTACCCCAAGCTACTATTCATAAAGAAATAAATTTCACTTTTCTGTGCCCTGACCCGCCCATGGCTCCCCGTTTCTTACCCCTCCTCTGACTCTGCAGTTATGGGGTATGCAGAACCCCTGGGTGTGGCACTGAAAATATGATGTTGCTTGAATTTTATTTTTAGAAACTACTAGATCTGCAGATGGTTGCCATGGATGTTTCCAGCAGAAGCTAGCACTCGGGCGAGTCTAAACTCATTGGTCCAAGACCTCCCTTTGCCAGGGAAGGGCGTGAAACTGGCTCCTCTCTGGTCCTCTTCTGCAGCTCCCTCAGGGTAGCAGGGGAAGGGCTGTCAGCCAGGTTCCTCTGTGGTGGCTCCCTAATGGGGGGATGAGCCCTGCTCCCACCCAGGCCCTCTGTGGCGGGCCCCACAGCTCCGGGCTGGCAGGAATCACTATGCAGCACCGACCCATAATGGAAGCATTTCCTCTGCGTGACGCTAACTTCCCTTCTTAGAACAAAACCGTTTTCTTTTTTCTTTTATTGCAAGAGGGGCTCTTGGTGTTTTTTACTTTTTTTGTATATATCACAGCACATGACTTTTCCACTTTTAATTTTGTTTAGAAGGAATTAGCTTTTGTTTTATCCCAATGGTGACAGTTTACAATCTCTAATTAATATAGGGTTAGTCCAGTTACAGCACCTGCACCTTGATCACCATCTCCGTTTTTGCACAAATTCACTGAGTCATCAAACACTGAAGCTTCCTGCTGGTTGTAAAGAAATTGGTTGTAAAGAAACCTTCAGCTATAGAAGAAAAAGCACAGAGTGAATTTTCACAAAAAGCAGGGAATTATAAACTCATTGTAGACACAAATATCAAGACACAGGAGTTTTCCCTGTTTTTACTTAATAGTAAGGAGATTATTGGTGACTGAATTGTTTATTTGCATTGCAATTTAAAAGAATAGTATCCAAGATGAAGGGGTAGTTTTTGTCTTTGCTAATTAATATTGTCCATATTTTAATAAATCATATGAACGAAATGCATATTTTCAGCATACCAGTGAGATTTATTTTGTGGCCCACACACACTGAAATCGTCATATTGTGGGAATATTATAGCTGGTAACCAGCTGATCGTGACTTTTATTACAGGAGCGGCTAGGACGATCGTGGTGGTTAGCTGTAGTGACACAAACAGTGGTCAGTGATGTGCAGTGAAATAAATTATATATTATTATACTGTGCCCAGTCTATTAGAAATTATTTGATCAATGCCTCATTTCATTAAGATATCACAAAGATGTTGATAGTATTTTTTTACTTTATTATTTAAATCATAACTAACAATATTTTTAAAAACTTATTTTCATTGCTATCCTGTCAAATATTCCAAAATCAGCCAAGTCCAGCTCTAGGTGTATATAACTACGTGTGTGACAGCAGTGATTTTCCCTCGTCCAGAGCTTGAAATGGAAGTGAGAGCGGCTCAGTGGCTAGTTGCGCATGATTCTGTGATGACCACTTGCCTTCGGTGATGAGTGAAAGATGCCCTCTCTGAATGGACACCCTGGTGTCTTCTGCGGCTGCCCCGTTCTTGCGGTCACACGTGTGAGCCAACTCATTTCATCAGGTTCCTTACCTGGCGGGTAGATCAAAGGGAGGGTTCTTAACTCGTTACACTGTATATAGCGATACGTTTGGTAAAATAGACAAAATTGGAATGCCTGCTTCGTCTGGCATCCAGCATGTGAATGTGATTATTATTTGGCTGTGTGGTCTCTATATTCATTAGGTGACGTGCAAGTGCACCTACCACTGACTAATGTGTGCTAATACCCTAACAACACACCTGAGGTTAAAGAAAAGAATTCTTGTCTGAAAAGTGGAAAACCGAATAAAATTGATTTCAAAATAAAAAATACAGTACTTGGAAATATATCTTCTTTCTGACTACATGTTGCATGTTGCGTTGGTGATTTGATGGTGTGTTCTTTTTCTTTTCTTTTTTTCTTTTTTACCCCAAATCCCTCTGGAAAATCCGATGAACAAATACAAATTGTTGGATTAAAGATTGTATAAATTGATCTGAACATATATGAGCATTGTATAAAAAAATGCTTGTAAATCTGTCTTGAGTTTTACTCTATGTAAAAATATGTCTTGGTTTTGTGATTGTACACAAGATGTATCTTGATAACTTATGTAAATTGTGCTGTATAATGGCTGTTTCCCAGCCTTAATAATAAATATTCAAAATATAAACTTTGACATCTTGAGTTTATCAAGATTTCCAGGCCAGGCATAAGTGTATGTTTTTATTAGTGCATGTTTGCACCTCTTGCTAATGTGCAACTCAGGCAATGAAATAGAAAAAAGGAGAAGGTTGGTGCGCATTTGGGGTTTCCTATGAAGAGGTTAGAGGAGATTCCCGCCAGTGTTTGTAAATTTCTCAGCAGGGGTAACAAGGCATCTGCTAGTGTGAGGAAGAAGAAGAAGCTGACAGGATGAGCCATTTGAAGACAGTGGAGAGGTTTGGAGTAGTCTTGGCGAAGACAGGAAGAGCCTGATGACCAGGGACGGCAGCAGCCACCTGCCTTTGCTGTCACCTGTGGTCCCACGGCCTGTAACCCTAAGCAGAGAAAGGACAAGGTGAATTTTAGCTACAGAGACCCTACCTAGCACAGGCTGAAGAAGAACCAATGTGTGAGGGACTGCAGGGCACAGGCAAAGTTGCACTTAAACTCTGGACCATCGGCTCTGTCATAAAGAGGGAGGTGAGAGAGGTAAAGCCTGGTGAACTGAGTGTAGAAAGGTGTTCACAAGTTAACAAGATTGTAGACTAGCTGGCTCCTGGGACCAATTTGAAAAGCTATGGTGAAGCGCGGGTCGGGTCAGAGGTAGCTGGAGCTGACCAGTGGGCTAAGCGGAAAGGTAAGGCCGAGGCAGCACTGTGAATGGGCCCATGTGGCCGGAGTAAGAGTCCTTCACTTACCTTGGAAACGCTGGGGTTTCCCGGATACAGAGCACCATGGGAACGGGCTGGACAGAGGTCGCTAAGCTGTTAGGGTCAGATTGCACTGCGCGCCATCAGTTCCGATTCTTTATATAATGACCTTGCAATAGAATAAGTGAAATGATTCAACAAGGGAAATATCTGCTTCTCTTTTCCCTCTGCCAGTTAAAATTCTGCAAATAGAACAGTTGTGGACACACTGAAGTCTTCAACCTCCAGAATTAAAAAGAAAAGGTCTCTCTACTTCACATTTTGAAAAACAAAAGAGATGACTATTTTCCTCAATATGCTCAGCAATGCACCTGAGCACTGGAGAAAAAGATACCTGAGCCCGAGATAACGATTATTAGCAAAACTGGCCCATTTTCTTTCCATTCCGGGTGTGATATTTCATTCTGCTCATACTGACCCCAGCGTTCAAGGGTGTCTGCTTCTCGTGGGAAAGTCTGTTTTGGAGACAGGTTGTACTCTGTGGAGCTGGAGATTTCCACTTAGAGTTTTGCTCTGTCTGAATCTCAAGGTGCTCGCTCTTGCGGTTAGTGAAGTAAATCCTCAGTGGTTCAGGCCCTTCCTCCGCCGGGCTGCACACACTGGAAGGAAAGTAACCCACCCGGGGCTGTGCCACTGGCCCGGCTGCTAGGGCTTGTGGGTGGGCAGAACCGCGGCTGCCTAGAGCATGAAACGCAGTCCTGCTTCACCCGCACCCTAACCACTTCCCGGGACTCTGCAGCTGCACCGCCGACGCTTCTGTCTCTCTCCTTCCGCGCATCCTCCACACAGCCGCCGGGGATCTACCTCAGGTGTGTATCTGACTCTCATGCGTCCCCGCCAGAAACCACTCGGGGTTCTCGTGCCCAGAACCCTGGGAGAACCTGGGCTTCATCCCGGACAGCAGCTTCTCTATCCTTCATCCTCCCAACCCAGGGCATTCAGAAAACCCTCCTTCCTCCTTTCTCTCCTTCCGCGCATCCTCCACACAGCCGCCGGGGATCTACCTCAGGTGTGTATCTGACTCTCATGCGTCCCCGCCAGAAACCACTCGGGGTTCTCGTGCCCAGAACCCTGGGAGAACCTGGGCTTCATCCCGGACAGCAGCTTCTCTATCCTTCATCCTCCCAACCCAGGGCATTCAGAAAACCCTCCTTCCTCCTTTCTCCATCCCCTCCCCCTCTCCCTCCCCACTGCCTATCTCGGGCACACACACATGAGCGTGGACACCCATATTTTCCACTGCAGCTAGAAAATCCTGATCTATCCCTCTCTACCCGTGTGTTTCACCCACAGTTTGAAGTGTTTCAGAGGCGTGACCCTCTTTCTATTTTTTTTTAATAAAGACCCAGAATCTCTGACTGACCCCCACCTCCCGCCTCAGCCTCATGTCACAGGGCACACCCCGGAGCTTGTCTGCCTGCTGCAGGCCGAGCTCCACACCCTCTGGGTCCATCGCTTCTCACCCGTGGGTCCCTGTCCGGGAAGGGCCTCCTGGGTGATCACCAGCACGCCTGTGGTCCTCTGGGTGTATCATCCTGACACCTACTGTAAACCGTGCTTATTTTCCTTGTGATCACTCTACTCATGCAAGATGATAAACTTCACAAGTGCAAGAGTGAAAAGCTCTTTTCTTGCCACTGTATCTGGAATGGAATAGACACTCGATACCTATCATATGAGTTAAAGAGTTATTGCTTCTCAAATGCTTTTAATCCAGAGGAAAAGCGGGGAACATCTTCATGATAGGCTAATTTTCTTCCAATGAAAACTAATTTAAAATGGTGTATTTTAGAGCAATAGACCCAGATACATCCCCAAGTAGAATGAGTTCTGTGTGTTTGAGGAAGGAAGGGAGGGAGGGATGGAGGGAGGGGAGAGAAAGAAGAAGAAGAAGAAAGGGACAAGAACGGCACAGAGAAGGAAAGCACACACTTGAAATTCAGGGTCTACGCAGATCGAATCCTCTGCTCCCCATGAACGTCGCCCTTCTCTCACCGTTGACACCAGCACGGTGGCACAGAAGCCAGACTGCGAACCTCCCGGAGAAGGCCCAGGGCACTGCTTTCAGGGGCGATCACGCTGCAGAAGCACAGCTCTGGGGACCTGGAGGGTGAGTCCTGGGCATCCGGGAGACACCACTCAGGGTCACTGAAGGAGAGCAGAGCCTCAGCGCTGGGAGACGCCTGTGAGGACCTGGCCAAGCAGAAAGGAGCCTGGAGGCCGAGTCGGAGGCCGTGGAGGCCTCCACTGAAGCCACTGAGCTCCCACCCTCTGCGTTCCATCTCCAACACGCGCGCGTGCGCACACACGCTCCTTCCCTCGGTGCTTTCCTTGAGAAAGAAAAAAAGATGAAGCTCAAAGGAGCCCGAGGCCAGGAGAAACACAGAGGAGGTGGAATTTCACCATCCAGAGCCTTCTCAGGGACTGGCTCCAGTGCAGAGTTGCTGCTGGGTGCACGGTGAGAGGACGGCTGGGAAGGGGACCCGGCTGAGAGGGCAGGAGCAATGGCGAACACGTGAGTCCCAGAGTCCTGGAGAGCAGAGCAAGGGAAAACTATTGTGACCGCATGGAAAACTCCTCTCCTGAAGCAACTGTCAAATTTTAGACAAATGGACCCTTTCCTGACATTTTTACAATTAAATATTTTGTCAGTGAATCTAATATAACATGATGTTATTGCACAAAACTATTTTAAATAGTAAAAATTATTCCACAGTAAAAGACTAAATTGGAGATATCCAGAGGGATAAGGTGAAAATTCTTCTCAGATAAGACTTTAACATCTGTAATCAGAGCATTGTTGCCCAAGTGATGAAGGCACCCACAGGAACCCGAGGAGGAAAACAGTTTAAACAAAATCGGCCTCAAACGCTGATAAGCTTGCAACCCTACAGATCTGACATTTAGAGCCTGAAAGAGGGTGGCTCTCCAAGACAGGTCTCTCGACCCTGAACAGAGCATATTAGAACCTCAGGTGTCAAGGACAAATGAAAGAACTGTGCTCGGTAAAGTCTGCAACCTGGGCTCAAGGAGGTAAGTGGTGCCCATAGGTGGAATAAGTTAATTGACATTTTCTAACAGAGCTTCACTACCAAGCTGAACAGTAGCTGGGACAGCTTAGTGATTTAGGGTCTTTATCAATTAGCTGTTGTTTTTCATACTTTTTAGCAATTAACACCACTTCTTCAAGTGTAATAGTGTTTTTTTTTTTGTTTTTTTTTGTTTTTTTTGTACCAGGAATCAAACTCAGGTCCTTCTGCTTCCCACGCAGGCTTGGTGCAGCTGAGCTACATCCCAGGCTCTCAAGTGTATTGTTTTGTTTGTTTGTTTTTCCCAGGCCATGAGTCTAGAAGATAAATGAAGAAAGCTCTGGGGACAGTGCAAAGACAAACCAGCAGGCACAGCAGGACCCTGCCTTCGCTCTGCCTTCTCCTGACACGGGGCGGTGAGGGCACAGGGCTGCGAGCTCCTGGGGGCATCGGGAACCCTGAGTGTGCAGGCAGGCAACGCGGACTCGCCCAGGGCACAGGCACGCAGGACTGGGGTCTGAGCTCCCAGGCCTGGATTGATGGGTCCTCCTGTGAAAATTCTGTGCAGCTTGCTAGTCATAATTATTTTATACCGCATGGTGCCTTAAAATTAATTTCAGCTGGTCAGTGCTGCTGAAGAAAACAAGCCAATTAATACTGAGGCCTACGGCTGAACCGATGGAGTTTTATGGGAGAGAAATAACTGGGTGCACCACCGACAGCACCCCGTCCACGAGCTTCACATTAACGGCAGGCAGGAGACATGGTGGATTTTTTATCATTTTTTTTGCATAATGAAGTTAAAGTAAGTACGACTGTCCTGAAATTGGTGCTGGCGTTGTTCCAAGACAGTCACACCATCATTTTAGAAATTGTCAGGACAGAAGAGGGGGTGGGAAGACGGGTTTCCATGAGACATGGCGGGGTTGCCCCAGCGTGATACCCAGACGCTACGGCCGCCTGACCCTAGGGGAGGAGCAGCTCGTGGGCCTTGTTCACCCATGGGACAGCTTCCGGCCAAGCATGGCTGGCAGTGGGCGGTGAGAATCGGATTTCCAAGCTTTATTTACAAGTTTAGGACTTCACTTACTCATTCCTCTATGTTTATTCGCTGATATCAATTCCTTGCCCATGTAATGAATAGTTCAAATTCACTGCCTCACTGGTATAAACAACTTTTACTCCCTTCCCCCGGAATCTGGTAAATTGTCTTTGCTCTGCAGCCATTGAGCCACTAGGTGGGGATAGAACTCTTTGAAAGTTAAAAACTTCTGGAACGTGTTTATTTCAGAATCTATACAAGCAAGTACAAACCATAAGTACAGCATAGTTTTGATCCACAATTTACTCCTCCATAGTACTAACAGCTGCAGAAATGTCCTAGTGTGAACAGGTTTCTCCTAAGCCATGTAAGTCTCCAGAACGGGGATGGCTTTGGAAGGACGAAGAGGCCACAGCTGTGATCACGGAGGCTCCTGTCCTGTGGGAGAGGCCGGCTACGATCGGCAAACACAAACCCGCTTCCCCCTCGCCGCCCTACCCTGACTCAGGTGTGATCTCTGTTCCCCTTTTACAGTGAAAACACCAGGCGTTCACCAGTGAAGGCATTTTCTCTAAATGAGGAGGCTTACAGAGGGATGTTTTATGCCGTTTAGAATCACCTACTTCCAGAACTATAGCTCTTAAGTGTGGGAAGCCAGCCATGGCCCACTGGCTTTTTGAAAGATAACATTTGTTCCTTTTTAAGGACTGCACGTGTTAAACTTGTTTTTGACCCTGCACGGGAGAAACTCGGACAGCCAAAGATCTGTAGGAGTCAGGTGCTTCCTGTTAAAGATCTGATGTTATCTGTAGGAGTCAGGTGTTGTAACCCCATTTTGTTAAGTTCCTCCACCTATTTGGGAATCATGATTATTAGTTGCAAGTGTTGTTAATTTGTTTTTCTTGAGCCTGCTTTCTCTTTCCAGTGTGAACCCTCGTTCTCGTGGAGCGGGTGTTGAGGTTACTATGGTAATCCTAGCCTATAATAGTTCGGTCTTTTCCTTTAAAAGGCTGATGCCTGCCTGCAATAAATGTCGCCTTGATCAGACTCTTGTCTTGGCGTCCTTCCTTTCTCTCTGCCCCATCTCCACCCCGCTGCTCTTTCAGGTTTGAGGCCCTGCTGGACAGTGCTCTGCGTCGCCGGCTCGAGACACTTAAGAGTTCAAAATCAAGAGTACACCATCAAAATGCTGCGAGTTCAGGCTGTGGGGCTCTGTAAGACTCCGGGCTGAGCTGGAGAAAAGGACACAGTCCCGAGTACTCTGCAAGCCCAGCAAAATATCCCGTGAGCTTCCTTCTCCTGCGCAGTGGAGCCACGTCGGGAGCAAACGCTCTGTCAGTTTAAGATTTAAGCTCCTAAGTGGCGTGACGGTGAGTATGAACTACTGATAATCAAAGGTGACCTAGCGTCAGTGGCCTTGTCAATTCTCGTGTGAAACCCTGACCCTGGCTCAGGAAAGCGTGTCACAGATCCCTGGCCCTGCAGCCTTGGCGTGAAGGATGAAAAACCACAAAGCATCGAGACCAAGGGACGGCAGGGGTGGAAAACACAGATCAGTACCTTGGGTCTGCAAGGTATCCGACAAAAACACGTTTCCCTTCTGCCTCGGCTTCCTGTCTCCATGACAGTCTCAAACGCTTCTAAGGGGATGAGAACGTCTGGCTA